ATGCAGCCAAAGCAGGCATTTCAGGTACTGTGGGTTTTGTGCTTAGGCCATATTCAGTATTTGTATTTTGTCAAAAAATAATAAAGAACAAGCTATGGCTGTCACATCATTACCTCAGATGCACTTAGATACATAAGGATATAGTTTGCTGTTGGCTTTGCTTTATTCAGAATGGTCTTTAAATAGACTTCTCTGCCTGTGTTCACCAGTACTTTTGTACACAGTACTGGTTCTTATGCTGATTGAGAAAATACATGAGCATGATGAAGATACTTAAAGGTGTTTGATTTTTGAGGGGCAGATTATTAATTCAGTGTGTTAAAACTGGTTTCAAATAATTCTTGTAATCCCATGTAATTTCCTTATAATATGCATCAGCCTGAACAGCTGCTGTGTGAAAAGATTATTTTTAAAGGTGACTGGTATATGCAGAATGGGTAGTGGAGAAATTCTGTAATGTCTGTTTCCTTCCCCATGCCTTTTAATTTGAGGGCTATTGGAGAGCAAGATTAGTTATGTATTAAAAGCATGTTTTTACATAGATAACTTGCAAAATAGTTAAATAAGAAATGTCACTCATAGAGTATTGCTTCTGCATATTCTTGCATAAAGAATGGATGCATCTTTGTGTGCTGCTTCGCAGTACCTGTTTTTGTAGTATTAATCCTTTGGGAGTTGATTGCCTCTGCTGGCATATGTAGTTATTTTCCTGAAGAGTTGCAAATTTACTCTGGTTAGGGAGGAGAAGAATTTCTGGCTGGTGATTCTAGTAATGCTGGGTTGCAGTCACGGTTGCAGAGAAGACATTTGCCTGGTAATGAGTTCAGAGCTTTAACATCTGACTTTTAATTGGGACCTCAAGCACTGCTGCCCACTTGCCTTTTTAGCTGCCTGCAAAGTAACCTAACCTTGCTTTTAGAGACAGTTGTAATTGCATTAAAATGACAGCTGCACATTTATTTATCTCTAAGGCATCAATGTAGATGTCTAAAGTAGGATTAGCTTGATCTGTTTTTAATAGGTTGTGTTAAGGTCTGGCTAATTGACAGGGTGAAGCGATTATGAACTTTGTAAACTTCCAATTTCTAGTTCAGGAGCCAATAAAAGTCTTCCCTCATAGCCAGAACAAGGATACACCACTTTTTCAAGTTAAATGTGCAACAAATAGAGTATATGTGATTTAAACAAAATATTTTAAACCCCTTTCATCGCTTTCCTAAAACCAACCAAACAAACCACTTCCACACCCCCCAAACTACTTGTCTTGCCTAACTTTGTTATTGTTGTCCTGCTCTGGCAGGGTTGGACTAGATCTCTAGAGATCCCTTCCAATCCCTTAACATTCTATGATTCTATACTTTAATTAAAATAAAGTTGTTTCTTTGCCTGAGATAGAATTGTATCGATAGAGTATGCAAAAACTCTTCACTTAGTCATTGATAAGTGAGAAAGTGTAAGTTATAACTTCTGCCTTGTTAATAATTATGCTGGCACCAGTTACTTTCT